ATTACACTGGCAGAAGCTGGTGCAGTATCACTTCAGCTGAAGAGCTGTCCTGGTGTCAGATCAAGACCAGAGAGACCCAGTTCAAAGCCCTGCTTAGCCCTCAGCCTTGCTGGGTAGTCCTGGCCTAGTCACTCCCTCCAGGTCTGACATACCTACTACACAGGGTTGTTATGAGGATAAAATAAGAGGACAGAGCATACATGCTACCTTGAGCTCCTTGGAAAAAGAGTGGGAGAAAACTGTAATAAGTATTGCTTAAACAATTGATCCGTGGGTCTCTAAGCATGTGGTTCCAAATGACCCCATCAAATAAATATTTAAAGGAAGCTAAATTAGCCTCTGAAAGCATTTATACTCTGCTAATTAGCTGGAAAAGGTCCTAGGATAATGCTGTGAGCCCCTCCATTTGATGCTCGGATTGTACATATGATTTTTATAAAACCGTATCTCAAAAAGACACCAGTCTCCATTGACCTTTATTGTAAGGGAACCAAACCCAGCAAAGCACTGGAACCCCTTGGAGGCTCTCACTGCTCAGAGATTTTTTTTGGGGGGGGGCGTGCAACAGAACAATGATACAGCATGTGCAGTGCACAGAAAATATTTCAGACCTTTTATCGTCCCCCTTTTATTGTCAACGAGGCAGCTGAAGTAAGAAAGATTGCCCAAGATCATTGAGTGAGTCTGCAGCTGAGCAAAGATTTGAACCAGAAAACTAAAAGTCTGTGGCTTACACTCTTCACCACTATATTCCACTAAATTATATATATATAAAAGGATGACTAATATATACTGGATACCAGCACCACCTTTTTAAACAGTCAGGGAAACCAGGCTCCTTGGATTTCTCAAAGCCTGCTCAAAAGCAAACCATTCAGAGCAATAAAGTTACCTTATCGTGTTGTCAGATGTTAAGAGCACAATGTGAGGGTCCAGTGTCTCACTGGGGTACCAGGCGGAATGCTTCAGGGTCAGGGATGGTGAACTAGTGAAGAACCTTTCAGCAATAGGGATGGTGCTGCAAGAAGACAGGTCTCCATCATGAAAGGCACTATGTTCCAACCCAACAGAGGGCTGCCAACTGTTTGACTGTTGCTGAGCCTTTGACCAGCAGCTTGGGCTACAGACGTTCATGCCTGTGTCCCCTGCCAATTTCTGCAGATCAAGCTGGTGTCAAGAGCACAAGAACAGGCCAGGCTTTTCCCTCCCCAACTGGCAAACCTATCAAAAGCAAAAAAGCTCAAGGGATAGACACAGACTTGTAACAGTCCTTTTTTATTTCCTAACTTGATGTGTTACATGAACACTACCCTTGCTTAAACTCTAGGTACTAAATAATTAGCTATCATTGGTCCTGAAGGGTCAGTACTCAAACATTTTATCTCTGTAATGAAAGAATTTAACTAAGGAAGCTTTCTTCTAGGTAAAAATGTAGTCACAGACTCGGTTATCAAAAGCGCTTCCAATCTAAAATCGAACTGATCTTCTCCATAAATGTAAAAAAGGGTTGAAAGAGTAGCTACTGTCCAAAAATAACATCTCCTGAAATCTTGTTTTTGAACCAATTAACAGTCCTGCTCCCACGAATGACCCTGCTTATGCCTAGAATCGCCTCCCAGTAATGTATTTGTGAAGCTCTCTCTCTTCAAAACCTATTCTTTGGCACAGTCCCCTAGCCTCCATCTCCTAGTGCTATAACTATGTTCAAGTACATATATCTGAAATATTCACGTATCCAATCCTTGTTTACCATTGCCTTCATTTGCCTCTCATCGTCCCTTGTCTTCCTTGTTCTGTTTATAGATTGTATCCTCTCATTTTTAGTGACGTGCACATAGAAGTCACTGATACTAGCAAATAATGCAGATTGTCAGGCTGTAAGTTCTCTGTGCAATGTCCTCTCCTGTTTCTTCCACAATGGGGAGAAATTCAACAGCCTTTACTCTTTTTTCCAGCCTTGCAGTGATCTGTCAAATGTTAACTGTGAGCAATTTGAGCAGATGGATTGTACTACTTCCATTGCAAAGAAAAGTTGCCTTAGCCTCCCCTTGATACAGCAAAGCAAATGTGCCACCAGCAAGATGGACTGCTTCAGAACTTTGCCCAAAAGCAATCACTTTTAATGGAAAAGCAAGGAACTGAACCTAGAACCTCAGGCCTACAAAGCCTCTATCCTAACACTGCACCATAAAGCACCTCAGCCACCCTTCTAAAAAAGTTTAAAAAGAGATTGCCTCTCTATAGTAGAGGATTGTATGCAGCTGAAACAAAAGTCCCTCCAAATATAATGCCTGAGAATTTCAGTAAAAACAGTCAGCAAATGAGACTGACACAATGTACTCAAAACTGCTTTCTTTACAGACCCAGATGATAATGAAGTAGCAACCGTCCCTAGTTCTAGAGCTGCAAAGCAATTATGAGAAATGGAGAGCCTACATACCTACAATTAACCACTGGTTTTCCACCTTCAAACTCAGAGTTCTTTCCCCAGCGTTTAGGTAACTCCAGCACCATCAGGCCTTTTGTTCCTATCAGAGCTACATGCTCCTGTGTAGGACTCAGTGCAGTTTGATACACCTCAAAAAAGGGTGAATTTATGCAGAGAAGGGTCTGGAAATCAAAGCAGCAATCGGTTAACGCTTAAATATTTGAACTTTGTGCAGAACAAAATCTTTAAAACTAGTGCAAAATGTGTGTGTGTCACTCAATTACACATTTGGCTGCAAGCAAACTGCACCTGTCGCTTCCTACCATTTCATCTGTGCTCACTCTTTCAGGCATGATCTGATATGGATGCTGAGCGATGAAGACTACCTATATTATTCTTAGGCTTCATGCAAGGCACTGGTAGCTGCTACTGTTCTTCTATCAAAGCCAAGAGACCACTAAACCCACAGGGTCTGCCTTGGACAAAAGCTTGGAGAAACCAGCAGTCGTGTTCCTTCAAGCATTCTCTTCCAATGCTTGGACAACAATTAAAAACACAGCTGCAAGTGTAGTAGTTATCTAGACTAGAACATCAGAGACCTGGGCATAGCCCTCCTAAATCAATAAAATCAATAAAAATACATAGCTTAACTGAGGTTCTGCCCCCCTAACAAAAGACCTGCCCCTTTCCAAAAATTCTGGGACCTGCGTTCAAATCCCTGCTCAGCCACAAAACTCACTGGGTGTGACCTTAGGGGTCAGTCACTGCCTCTCAGCCAAACACACCTCACAGGATTGTTGTGTGTGTGTGGTGGTGGTGGGGTTAATTGGGGAAGAATGCACAGTGGTACCTCAGGTTAAGTACTTAACTTGTTCCGGAGGTCTGTACTTAACCTGAAACTGTTCTTAACCTGAAGCACTTTAGCTAATGGGGCCTCCTGCTGCCGCTGCGCCGCCAGAGCCCGATTTCTGTTCTTATCCTGAAGCAAAGTTCTTAACCTGAAGCACTATTTCTGCGTTAGCGGAGTGTGTAACCTGAAGCATATGTAACCTGAAGCGTATGTAACCCAAGGTACCACTGTATGCCACCTTGAGCTCCTTGGGAGCAAAAAAAACGCAATAAGCCATTCATTATTATCGCTACTGATAATGCAAGCCTATAGTCCTATATGGAGGGGCTTTCCACAGGTGAGCCACCACCACCTTGAGGCCCGAAGTGGCGGCGCCCCAAACACAGGTTGGCCACCTCAGTGAGAGCCGAGCCCTATCGGGGCGAAAGGCCGCACCTGGTACTGGCCCAGCCTGTCGGGCTCGTCGCCCAGGCCCCTCAGGCTGAGGGCGTAGAAGGCGGCGCGCTCGGCGTCCCACAGGAAGAGCTCCCCGCCGAGGCCGAACAACAGGTCCCGCGGGAGGGACTGGCGCGACGACTCGGGCCCCGGCTCCGGCCCGGCCTCCTTGTCGGCCTGCTCCCGCAAGCGGCACAGCACGGCGTGGTGAGGCAGCTCCGCCCACCAGCGCTCTCCCAAGCCCGGCGCCACGGCCGCCGCCATCGTCGCCGGTCGAGGAAGCCGGTCGGGGCCTCGCCGCCTCAGGAGCGCGGGACTACGAGCCCCAGAGTGCACTGCGGACGGTGACGTCGGCGTCCCGGCGGACCGATAAAGATGGTTAAGCCCAGCGGGCATCTTCGCCACGGGAGGGAGCGAGGGAAGTATGAGACCCAGAGTGCACCGCGGCCTGCTGACGCAAGCGGTCTCTGGACCGTAGACTTGTGAAAAGTTTAGACATGAAAACTGCGCGGGGCTTGGGGGTTTTCCATAGACATTCTCATTATCCTGGGGTGGAAGTGAGGGCTGCTTCCGTCGAAAGAACATCCCGCCCGTTCAAATCTTGGCAGTATTTTTGGCAATATTTTCTATTGGCTAGGCGGGGCGAAAAAAGCGGGGAAGGATATCCGGGATTTCATCTATTAATTTAGTATCTTTTTTGTTTTTTGCGAATATTGTGTTAGTTACACATAGAGATAGGGATTGGTACATTCATGTGTCTTATCATTCCAAACGTTCTCTTTTATAGTTGCCTAACTAATATTTCTTTCTTTCTTTTGTGCTTCATCATTCTAACATTTTCCATAATTGTTCAGCCACAATGGCATTTCATTTTTTTGTACGATCATTTTAGATTTTTAAATCACCCTTGTTTTATCAATATATCTCTACCGTTTGACCACACTATTCTTCCTCACGGTATTAGAAATATTGTATATCACACTTTCATTTTTCTTGATTGCTTTGGTCACACTTTTTTTCGTAAAATTGATTCCCACCCTCCCCTCATGCACTTTATTGCTTTATCACTCTTACATTCCCATCTCCTTGTCTTTGAGGCTTGGCTTGTTTACTTCGCCTTCTTCCTCCTCCCACCACCAAAACCCGGGAAGGGACGTTTGAACGACGAGAACGCCTTCCTTCCGGACTACAATTCCCATCAAGTGCCTGACTGATCCCTCAAGATGCAAGGTGCGAGGCGTTTCCCAGCATGCACCGGAGTCCTTTGCCGAACTCCATTTCCCAGGGTGCCTTGGGCGAGTGGAGGGCGGTTAAAGGAAGGCGGTAAAGTCTGCCGTGTAAACGCAGCTGCCGGGTTCCGGGTCTCGTGCTTCGCGAAGGGGATGGAGGGGCAGGTTCAGCGGCACCAGGCTCTTTACAAGGGCGCCCGGACCCCGCCTTGGAAGGAGACCTTCAGGCAGGTAAGGCGGCGGCGCGGGGTCTGCCCGAAACTCCCGTGGAACGCTGCGACTGCGAACGTTCCATGACTTCCGCGGAACGCGGCGACTGCGAACGTTCCATGACTACTGCGAACGTTCCATGACTGGATACATTTCAAGGAGCCCTGCCGGCTCTGCGCGTTGCTAAAGGGCAGAGTTGACCGCCGTCCTACCTGGATGGCCGTTTCCGTAGGAGCCCAACCGCTAGGGACCGAGCATATAGCTAAACTCCCTCCCACAAGAAGGTAGCGATGGCCACCACCTTGGATGGCTTTTAAAAGAGGATTGGACAAATTCATAGAGGCGGCGGCTGTTGATGGCTACTAGCTGTGACGGCTCTAATCACAACCCATGTGTTTTTATAAGATCCCGGAACAACTGCGTTGATGTTGTGGGTGCTTGCTTGTCTGTGCTCTGCAAGAGGGTAGTTCCCTTTTCTCGTTCCGCAGTCAGGCACCGATACTATGGAACTACCCTCTTGCAGAACACAGACAAGCAAGCACCTAAGTTCCTAAGACGCTCCTGCAGTCCATCGGAAGCCGCAGACGCCCCATCGGACGGTTGACTTCCAAAAATAGTTTGCAAATTGGAACAGTCATTTCTGGGTTCGTGGAGTTCAGGAGCTAAAACGTTTGAGAACTGAACTGTTTGAAAACCAAGGTACGACTGTACACGGTATCAGCAAAGGATACGCAGGGCATATATGAAATAATAAATAAAAAAGTCTTGTCAATAGTGCAGTATCTCAGAGTGGAGAATGACACTATTTAGCAGGAAGAAATCCCAATAAAAATCCTCATTATTATATATATTTTAATGATTGTTTATTTGTATATATTTATATATGGATGTTTTATGATGTTTTATGATAGCCTATACTTGTAATGCCTATTAAAGGTTTGGCTAAGTAAGTAATAAAATGAAGTCAAATACACTGAATCTGATCAGTTTCTAGTGAATGAAAAACACTCCCCCCCAAAAAAATATTCCAAGAATATTGAAAAACTACATCCCTGTAGTCATATCAGGTGAATCTTTAAAAAAAAAAATTGTTCAGAAAGCATTTCATCTTCCTAAGTAGGGGATTGTGGGGGAAAGTCAGAGAAATGGTTTGGCCATGTTGGTGTCTCCATTGCGAGTCTTTATCTCTCTGTTCACTGCCCTCCAGCGCTGCGTGGAGAGGCTGAAGAGCAGCCGTGCCAGGCTCTTGGACAGATACCGCCATGTGGGGGAAGACACAGCCCATCAAGCGAGCAAAGCCCTCTTGGTCCAGGAAGTGATGGAAATGGAATGGCAGGCTCTGCAGCCTCTGGATTTCCAGCTGCCCTTCCCCAGGAAACAAGAAACTTCCCCTCAGGTCACTGCGGTAAGAAGCAGCTACTGTACTATGTTCTTTGTTGGCGGCTGTCCATATCACGGGGGGGGGTGTCAACATGCAGAGGGCTGCAAGGCCAGCTGGCTAGCCCAGCTGGGCCGTCTCCTTCCAGCTGTCCACTGCGAAGACCCATCGGCCTCTGCTCCGACCTAAATCAGCGACCCGGGCTTCAAAGCCAGGGCACAATCAGCAATCGAACTGCACACACAGAATAGGCGTGAGGCTTGTGAAAGCATACTACAACTACAGATTTATTAATCATAAATCAGGACAAAGACACATGTCTTCTCTCTCTCTCTCTCTCTCTCTTCATCCTCTAAGAGAGACAGGGAAAAGCAAAAGCAATACACGCAACAGAAGTTCCCAGCAAACTGTGCTGGAATGTAAACAGACATGTGACACACAACAGTTCCTCACACCTGCTGCTTAAGGTGGAATGGAAATCTCAACAGTGTGTGTGTGGATTGTCAGCATAATGTCCTGGTACCCACAAGGTTTCTGAGTGCTGCATGAAGTACCCTTGGCGACCAGAGAGGTGGCCTTTCGTTCCCTCGGAAAGTACATAGAGCCGAAGGAGGAAGTTGGAAGAGCGGCACTCTTTCACACTTCCTCTTTCAGCTCTACATGCTTCTCAAGGCTCAGATTAATTCTAGTGGATCTGCCTTCTACCCAGATCCCTTGGAAGAGCAACAGAAGTGTGTCTGTGTCTGTCTATCGCTCTTTGGGGGCGGGTGGCTGGACTGATCCCAGGGGTGAAAGGTGAGAAATGCCCAAACAGCACTTAAAAATGCCCAAAGGGCACCTACAGTACAGTTCAATCCAAATGTGCCCATGAGCTTAAAAAGGTTGGCACCCCTGTAACTTAGAGGGCTGGCATCCCTCTGGTTGTACACAAATTTAACTATTATTAATAATAATTCAAAGTTCTGGTTTAGACCTATGAAGCCTTATACAGTGGTACCTTGGTTGTTGAACGGCTTAGTTGTTGAACAAATCGGCCCCTGAATGCAGCAAACCCGGAAGTGGGTGTTCCGGTTTGTGAACGTTTTTTGGAAGTCGAACGTCCGACGCAGCTTATGATTGAGTGCAGGAAGCTCCTGCAGCCAATCTGAAGCCGTGCCTTGGTCTTCAAACAGTTCTGGGAGTCAAACAGACTCCCGGAATGGATTAAGTTTGACAACCAAGGTACCACTGTACAGGTTAGGTCTAGGCTATCAGAAGGACTGTATTCTTCCACACCAACTTGCTCAGGCTCTGAGATATTTTGGGGTAGGCCCACCCCACCATCCTCGCAGGCATTCTTGATGGGGACATGGGAGAGGGCCTTCTCGGTGGCAGCTCCCGTATTTTGGAGCTCCCTTCCTAGAGAGGCTAGACTGGCTCTCTCCATATTGTCCTTCTGCTGGCAGGTGAAGTCTGTTTTTATTCTGTGGGGCTAATACCAGCTTATTGTGCGGTTCCCTTTAGATGCTGGACGTCTTAGAGGAAATCCAGGAGGAGCTGATCTTGCAAGGTACTTGATTCTCTTTTGATTCTGATAGCCACGGCTTTAATTTCTGTTGGCACAGCCTGTGACGCAGGGGACGGGGCTTTCTCCCTTGCAGAACAGCTGGCCGTGGAAGAGTACGAACAAAGCCTGCGCTTTGAGGAGGAGTGCCTGAATGCTATCCTGGACGGCTTGGATGCAGAGCGCAAGGTCATCTGCCCGGTTTGCAGAAGGTGAGGCGAACACATACAATGCTTTAGGTCAGGCCTTTCCTCTGCCTCATCCCAGTTAGATGATGTGGAGAAATAGCTAGCAGGTGGCCGAAGTTCGCCAGCGTAAGACTTAATAAAGGAAACAAAAAGGAATTCGTCCCTGTTTAAGTTTCACCGCTGATCGCTTCTGCACCTTGCGTTAATTCATGGCTGTTCTTCCTAGGAACAATCTCTGTGTGACGAGTCACTCGGTCGTGTGTCCGTGTGGGCTTTCCATAAGCACGCAGGTGAGCAGGTGCACAAAAATCATTTGCACAAAAATCTGGGGTAAAGGAACATGGCTCAGCAGCAGAGTGCACCAGATTTGTATGCAAAATGTCTGGGTATGTTAAAACCAAGGGGGCAGAGAAATGCATCAGAAATATCCCACCCACTTCTAAAAGGCCACGGGTGGTTAAGGGCCAAAGGCCTTTAGAGCAGTGTTTCCCAGACTTCGGTGTCCAGCTGTTTTTGGACTACAACTCCCACCATCCCTCGCTAGCAAGACCAGTGGTCAGGGATGGTGGGAATTGTAGTAAATGAGAAGACACAGCAGAAAAGGCCTGTCGAGTTAAACAGCTGAGCAGCTTTTCCGGGCTGGATTTCACTATTAATTTTGTAAAGTAGTTGTGATTTATTAGCCACTTTTGACATCGGGTCCTAGGGTGGGACCCCTGGACAATTAAGTCCAGTCAAAGGCGACTATGGGATTGTGGCACTCATCTTGCTTTTCAGGCCCAGGAGCCGGCGTTTGTCCACAGACAGCTTTCTGGGTCATGTGGCCAGCATGACTAAGCCGCTTATGGCACAATGGAATACCGTGATGCATGCCAGAGTACACGGAAGCGCCGTTTACCTTCCCGCCACAGCAGTATCTATCTACTAGCACTGGCTTTCAAGCTGCTAGGTTGGCAGGAGCTGGGAGAGAGCAACTTAGCTCACTCTGTCACGGGGATTTGAACCACCGACCTTCTGATCAGCAAGCCCAAGAGACCACAGTGCCAGACCCCTCTGTAGGGAAGGGAAGCGGTTGGCAAGCGAGGTATACATGTGTGGAATGGGGCGACTGGGCTGCCTGCTCCACCAAAAGGTTTTGATTCCTTCTCTCTGTAAGGGGATGACCAAGGAGAAGCTCTGCTCCTCGCTGGAAGACAGCGTGACGGAACACGGCCGCCGCTGTCAGTGCTGTCCTGAATTTGCTGTAACCAGCTGGGCGGAAGGCGAAGCACATCTTCCTCATGAGCTGCCAGGTAAGAGCCTCATTTTGTGACAGCAATAGTGGATGTGCCTGCCTGCTGGAGAGGCAGTGTGGTGTAGTGGTTAGCATGTCAGGACTAGGACTGAGAAGGCCCTTGTCCTTGTTTGGGAGAAGCACGGGGGATATCCCAGGGTGTAGCCCCTATAGCGCTGCCAGTTGATGGGAAGTGATAAAGAAGTCTTTTGATCTCCATAGCGCTGCACAGTATGAAGAAACGGCACATGGCAGGCAATTATTATCTTTCTTTTGTGTTCTTAGGTTTGCGATTCGTGGACAGTTATTTTGTAGCCATGGCTCCATTTGCAGCACTTTCCAGGAAAGCAGAGAACTCTCAAGTCTTTCCCCCCGTCCCCTTCTGAGAAGCGCCTTATCTACGTGTGGGTTTAATACACACAAATGTACATAATGTCAAAAAGTGCCCTTTATTGATTCATTGATGCGTGTTGTTTACGGTGGTTCTCAGCTGAACAAAAATACCTTTCAGTGTTGAGAGAAGGTGGGTCTTGGTGCACATGGAACAAATGGGATATTTTGTTTTCCTGTTTTGTGACGTTAAATGAGCGCAGCTGCTTAGAAATGTTTATCCAGATTTCACTGATCCTGCTATCAGAGCAGGGAGTGTTGCTTTTCCTGCTTAAAAAGTGCAATGTTCACTGAAAGGAAGGTAGGATGACATGAGATCATGAAAACTCGCTGGGCTGATGTGTCAGAACTCCTTTCTAAGGCAGACTGGTGTCGCATACAACCTTTTAATAATTCTTTGCGAATAAAGTTGGACTGCAACTGTCACCATTCAGTTTTCTATGAAGGAACCAGACTAATCTTGAATTAGAACAAGCACTATTGCCTCCTCTTGTCGTTCAGGGAACCACTAAACTAAATTCCAAAACGGGCATTTGCAACAACTGAAAATTATCTGAAGATCTTTAGTACACCATTTGCACTACAAACTCTCTAATGTCAAGCAGTTTTTGAAGGCAAGAACTTTTACAGGATATACTACACTGTTTATTCCTTTTCATATCAAGTGTCCCAGCGTACAAGTGAAAGTATACTTGGACTTGAGACATGCAAGGAAGCTTTCAGACCATCCAAGAAAGCCATTTTGCAGTGAGCTTTCCATCGAGAGGCCTGCTTCAAGCAGAAGAAACACCAGTTCAAGAGTTGCATGAGGGGGGAAAAGTTGAATCTTTTGGTATCACGAGGACGCTCAGAGAAAAAGGAGGATGAACTCTCCCAATATCTGAGGATGGTTAGGGTGGCTGTGGTATAAATGTAGATTAAAAACCCCAATACGGGTTGGGAAAGATCAAATGTTTTTATTCTGGGTGTTTCAGTGGGGAAATTTGGATCACCATCAGCGTTTAAACGAAAGAATTGATTGCTTACTGGTGTCTACAAAATGAAGCATGAAGCAAAAGCTATTAGTGTGGAAGAAAATCTATAGGTATGGCACACCCCTAGCATATGTGGCAATCCACATTCACAAAATACTCTTAAAAGTGCTATGATACTTTAAGCAGTCATGGCTTCCCCCAAAGAATTTAAGGTTTAAGGGGGCTCAGAGTTGTTAGGGGACCCCTGTATCCCTTCAACCACTCGAACGGTAGCTCTGTGACGGGACTGGGGCCTTCCTAACAACTCTTGTCACACATTAAACAAACTACAGCTCCCAGGATTCCTTGGGAGATGCTGTGACTATTTATAAAGTAGTATCATAGTGCTTTGAATGTATGGGGTGAGTGTGGCCTTAGTCTCTGCTCTAGGGGTGGGGAACTGGATCAGGCCAGCAGGTCAGATCTTTTTCTCCTCCACCTCCTGTGGGATACAGCTTGCAAAATGGGGTGTGCCTGCTCTCCCTGCTTTCAGCCAAGGTCCGCAGCAGCCCACGCCTGATAGCATCTGTGACACCATGTGTAGGCCAGGTGGGTTGGGCCAGACTGAGGCCTGCAGGCTGAGCTTTCAGACAGCTCTGCTCTAACAGCAGTTTGAACACTATTGTGTTGGGTTTTTTTTACCTTTCTGAGATTATTGTATCCCTTTTTGTGCTTCTGCTTTATTTAATTTGCTATTTTATTGCGTTGTTTGTGTTTCTGATTTGTGGCTCAAGTGACAAGGTTACTAGTAACAAATATAAAATGTGTAATAAAAGCATCTGCCACTGATTACAGGCTGTTTTGACAATACACGGAAACTTTGAAGCTTTGGGTGAGATTTCAACCCCAATTAAAGGAGCAGGCAGCCCTTTGGTTGTGTAGTACAACTTCCTATGGTATGAAAATGTTTCTATTTATAAACTCAGCAATGCTTCAGCATTGCATCAGTGTTATTCTCCACCTCCAGTATTCTTGCATTAAAAAGGACAATGAAAAGATAATCATCTTTGCATAGATGGGATTCCAGTGTTGTTTATAACTTGAAATGCAAAGGAAATTGTTGGTAGTTTTATTTGAACAGACTCTCTCTCTCTCTCTAAGCATTAGCCACAACCCTAGGTACTGTTTGTTGTTGTTTAGTTGTATCCGACTCTTCGTGACCCCATGGACCAGACTACACCAGGCACTGTTACACAGGAGTAATTACAGTGACAGCAGTAGCAGGAAGGTCTCAGATTTAATCCCTGAAATCCCCAGGTGGAGCTGGGAAGTGAGGGCTGAAACCCTGGAGAGCTGCTACCTGTCATTGTGGACAATCCTGAAATCCTTTCCTTTGGTTTTTTCCTCTTCCAGGTTACCAGCTTGCTCCCCAAGTGCTGTTCTTTTCCCTCCTCTTTCTTGTTCTATAGGGGCTTCCCCTATGTGCTAGACAGCACTGAGCTAGGTGTACCACAGGTGTAAGCAAGTATTCAGCTCACTAGTCACCTATCACACAAGCAAAGAATCAGAGCTGGAAGGGATCCCGTGGCATAGGCAAACTCGGTCCTCCAGATGTTTTGGGACTACAATTATCATCATCCCTAGCTAACCGGATCAGTGGTCAGGGATGATGAGAATTGTAGTCTCAAAACATCTGGAGGGCTGGAGTTTGCCTGTGCCTGATCTAGTTCATTCCCCTGCAATGCAGGAATCTCAGCTACATCATACACAAAAGAAGAGCCCGCTACCTCTCGTGGGAGTCTGTTCCACTGTCTAACAGTCCTTGAAGGTGGGCAGTGCCACAGGGTGGAATGTTTTCCAAAATTAAAACCTCCAAGGTTTATATTTCGTTGGAAAACATCTCATTTCATAAATTCATCAGCAATAAACCAACACAATACAGGCAGCCATGGCTGTTTCAAAGTGATTCGTTTATTTATGAGTATTCAGTAAACCAAACCAAACACCCTGAAACACCTTACTCTAGGGAATATTTACATTTAATGCTGGAAATTTTGCAATGCAAATTTAACAATTTTCAAGCTCAAAGCATTGCTGGAAAACACACATCACTTGAAGGCACATTCTTGATAAGCACACTTGAGAAACTAAATAAAGGTATTGGCGCAGCTAAGAGCTGAAAACTTTTTTACCCTACGCTAGCCAAGAAGCAGCTTATAAATAATAAGGTAAAATTATAAACTATGAGGGCAGGGGTCTGAAAGACAGGAGACACACAAAGGAAAATGTGCCCATTCTTTAAAGTTTCAGAGTTGAGTGTAATTATATAGTTCTGCATACATACAAGGTGGCCCAAAAGTAGGTCTACAGAAGTAGGTATACAGCTGAATCAAAGAACAGTCAAGAAGAAAGAAAGTGGATTCTAAAGCAGTATAGCTACTTTTGGGCCACCCTGTAGATTCCAGCTGCCTGAAGGAGCAAATTCTTCCCCAGAAGAGGTCCTTCAATATATTGGGGAGTAGTGTCCATGGCAGGGTTGCTCCTATAACAGAGATCTTCATTAAAGGTGTGTGGGTGAGAATAGATGTGTCACGAGAGAGTAGCTGCCCAGTTTTGACCAAGAGCTCGCGAGCGGGACCAAGAGGCATCTCCAGATGCAAAAAGCTTATTGCCATACTTTCAAGGCAGAACAGCAACACTGATCCAATGGATCCCATTTTATTTGCCACTAGGGGTGAGGAACATGTGACCGGACTACAAGCTCCACCAGACCATTGGGTATGCTGGGTCTGATGGGAGCGATACAGTTCAAGAACATTTGAAGGTTCTCCATCCCCACCTTTACACAATCACTTCTTCAGCTTGTTCATTTTCTCTTCCACCTCCCGCACGACACTCTGGAGTTTGACAGTTGTTTTTGTCAAGGCGGAAAAGCTTTCTTTCAGGTTGCCGACCCCCTCTTCTCTGCCTACGTTTTCAAGGCCATCAAACCACTGGAGGATCCCTTCAAGGTGCGCTTGGACAATCTTTTGCTCTTCCAGCTCCGCTAGAAGAGCCTGTTCAGCTGCGCTTTCGGCCTTGAGTTGTCGTTCCAGCTGGTCAATCTCATCCTGGAGCTCCTGAAACTGTTCTGGAGTGTAACGGAATTCCTCTTGGCCTTTGTCTTCCGGAAGCAAAACATTTGGGGGGATGCTCAACACCGTTTTCAGAAGGGTGTCTTCCATTTTGCCAAAGAGGTTGTTGAAAATCTTCTTCATTAAAGAAAAGAACTGCTCTGTGCTCCTCCGGATTAGGGAAGGCGTGAGCTTATTGGGACGGATGCACTCCAATTTATTCAGAATCGTGTCCTCCACCACAAGCATTATGTGAGCAAGGTGGTCCTGGAAGGCTACATATATCCGCAACATGAACGTTTGAGGAGTAAAGCCGAAGAACTGGGCCTCATAGGCCATGGGATTTATCGACATTTTTGCAAAACTAGCTACACAAACACAGCATGGAAGTCTGCGAAATAGAAAAAAAGGACAGTGTTATAAGAGGTAAAAAAAAATACTGGACAACCCCATTGGCAAAACCAGATACTGCCTGTTAGCTATTATTATTATTTTAGCTCAGCAAAGGGAGCTATTTCTATTATTATTATTGCTTGCAGCAATTATAATACTACATCAAACATTGAAAATACTACATCAAACATTAAAAATACTACATCAAACATTAAAAATACTACATCAAACATAAAAAACTTCCCTATACAGGGCTCCTTTCAGATATCTTCTAAAAGTCAAATAGTTGTTTATTTCCTACTGTAATTTCCTACATTCTGACATGACACAACATGGTAAACCTAGGAGAACAGGTCCAGGGGTGAATTTTTAGAAAAAACAATGACAATTTCATGAGGGAAGAGGGATGTAGTGGGGAGAGAGTGTCCTGTGAACAAAATATGATCTAAACATCTGCTTGCTAAGACGTTTCTATTCATCTTACTCCTGCATTCTTGTGTTGTTCACTATGCTTCAATATATACATATAAATATATGTGTTAGCTGCTACTGTGAGTTTATGATCTTACTGGTTTCGATTTCACCCACTAAGGTGTAATCCAGGTTAGCAGTAACTTTATAATTTTTTTTTCAGTCAGGGAGAATGGCATTTAACCATTATTGTTAATTTAATTTATTAGTCACTGTTTTTAAGCAAAATAATCTCATAGCAATTTACAACAGCAGGCAAACTCATTTAAACCAGCAAAAAACAAAGATACAGTCTAGAAGAAACTTTTAATTTTTTTTAAAAAGCAGGATTAAAACATATAGTTATGTCTGTGATTGAATCCATAATTATTTCCTATAGAAATACAGTACCAGACAGTTGGGGCAAGTTCCCGTTTCGAGATCTGGAGCTCCTGACCCGAGTTCAGGTCTTTTTACCGTTCCAAGCGGGGATTCGAACCCACAACCACGGCAGCCTCTCCGGTGCAGCACCGACCTGGAAGCCCCTTTGCTTCCCGCCACTTTTTAGCCTTTCACCTCCTCGGCCCCGCCCACCGCTCCTCTCACGCCCTCCTTTCCAGATCCGATCATAGAGATGGGCGCAGGCAAGAGCGGTACCGTGGCTTCCAGTAAGCCGCCGTGAAGGCGAACATGGAGCAATGAAAAGGTTAAGAGGGGATCGTTTCATTGGTATACTTTTTGCGACCTAGGAGGACGGAACCGTCGTAGCTAGCTGCCATTAACACTCCTGCGGTGTAAGCATCCCTATTGCAGGTTGCAGACTGGGATGAGCCTGAGAGAATCGCTGCCAACCAGAAATTAAATAATAGAATAATATATAATAGAGTAATAATCTAATAATCTAATCTAACGAATCTGCAGTTGCAGGGGGGAGAGGTCCAGCTGAAGGGGTTGTCATCCCTACAGAGTTGTGTAGTGAAAATGCAGAAGACAATTGTATTTTGAGGAGTTAGGTGGCATGTCCCTTTCCCTTTAACATCCCCAGTTGGATTCTTGTGTTTTACACACCTGTCTGGAGTTTCTTCTGTATTGCAAGTGCTGGCTGGATGCCGGCTGCAGGTAGTGGGAGACACTCAGCCGCTCTGTATTAATCCTGAGTAATGCCAGGTGCAAGGGACACGGGTGGCGCTGTGGGTTAAACCGCAGAGCCTACTACTTGCCGATCAGAAGGTCGGCAGTTCGAATCCCCGCAACAGGGTGAGCTCCCGTTGCTCGGTCCCTGCTCCTGCCAACCTAGCAGTTCGAAAGCATATCAAAGTGCAAGTAGATAAATAGGTACTCCTCCGGCAGGAAGGCAAACGGCGTTTCCGTGCACTGCTGTGGTTCGCCAGAAGCGGCTTAGTCATGCTGGCCACATGACCTGGAAGCTGTACGCCAGCTCCCTCAGCCAGTAGAGCGAGATGAGTGCCGCAACCCCAGAGTCGGTCACGACTGGACCTAATGGTCAGGGGTACCTTTACCTTTACCTAATGCCAGGTGCACTTGATTACATCAAGGCAGGCTATAAAAGCCACAGGTGGGAGGGGCCCGGGGAGCTTCTGCCCAGATCAAAGGCCCTGATGCTGGGAGACCAACGGTCGGGGTCTTTCTCCTGCTGCTCTACCTGGAGCTCCAGGCAGCTGAAGGGGAGATTGGGTGGCCCCTGTTGGGTATATTTTATGTTATGCTTTGTATGTTTGTTTGTTAATAAAACTGTCTTGGTTCCCCTCCCACCTCCTCATTCCTTTTGTCCTGATATTCTTGGAAAGAACTGCTGCATTTGGCAGCACTAGCTGCCATCCCTACAGTTGCTGATCTACGTTGCAGATTAGGGATTGGGCGGAGTTAATTTACAACATCCTTGCAGTGTTGCCCGTGGCTGTCAGCTGTACGTTGCATGGAGCTGAAGTTGACGCTTAGGCCAACCCTGCAGGGCCGTTCACTCTTGGCGTCAATGGGCTGAAAGAGGAACTTTGACAACCCTCCGGTGTGTTGACTGAGGGGAGGTGGACTTCCAGCCCAAAGTCCCCTCCGACTGCAGCAAAGGCCAGTGGGCTCTTCTTCCT